TCCAACACACTGCCCCAGGCCACAAAAATATCCACCAATAACAGACTCAACTTGTTCTGTTTTTATACGATTATGTATATAAAGAATTTTATAAAATAATGGCATTTTCTCTAATTTTTTATATCAAGTATATATGCATGATTTTTTTTCGTCAATCATTTGCAGGCTGTAAATCTTTTTTCAAAATTATGCTATTGTCCATACCTCTCACATTGATTTCGAATAATAATTCGCTATATGCTTTATATGATTTTATGGTACTTGTATTTTATAAAAGCATCTACTCCAACAAAACAAATAATGAATTGAATAATATAATTATTTGCCATGGGCCAGGCACGTAGTTTGTTTGTAACTGAAATGAATCAATGAAATGTACGTTGTGACGTGGTGCTTGAGAGGCGACAATTCCGAAAAATCCGTAGTCACAAATTTCGAGATATGTATGGGAGTTTATCCTGAACCTGAAGCTGAACTCGGATAAATCCAAACAAGACTGACTTTGAAACCAACCCAAGCCCAAACGCAAAGAGAGGCCAAAATCATGTGAACTGGGTCGCAAAAGAGGCCCATGATGAATACTGTAGCTGGATATTGGACAGTCTTTTTCTTTTGGGATAGTAATAGTTGGGCTTGTGCTTTTCTTGTGGGTCAAGGTCAATCCGTGCCTAGCTATTGGATTAAATAGGACAACGAGACCCTATATAATATAATGAAATGAAATGAAATGAAAAGAGGAGAGAGAGGGGATATTTTAGTGTAAATTTTCACGTGCAGTAGACCATGCGCATGATAATCATATAATGAAATGAAAAGACTGCATTCACTATTATACTAATACTATAGTGTATGTGTATATCAATCCCTTTCAAATTCAGTGTTTGAGAGACCAATGATAATGAGAAGAAGGGATATGGGATTTGGATGGGATTTCGATTGGATGGGATGCGAATCCCCTTCAAAAGCACCAATAAAAACAACCACAAACAAACGTGTATATATATATATATATATATATATATATCTATCTTAGGCTTAGCTTTGTACATAATATGATCGATATAATTCATATGCGTACATGTAAATTGTAATGTAAGCACACAGACACAGAGAGAGAGAGAGAGAGAGAAATTACACACACATCCCTCCATGTACACAGGCAGACGCAGGGCAAAAGGCAGAGGCAGCAGGGCAGGGCCAGGGAATGAAAAAAGGCGTAGAGCTAAAAAACTGACGTGACAAACTCACAAAGCATTGTCTTGGGAACGGCCGACCCAACACAAGTTAGTGGGAGACAATCAAAACGTTAGCCACAAACAAACCATTTACACTATGCTATCTTATTATTATATACTCTCTCTCTCTCTCTCTCTCTCTCTGTCTTGGAGGAGGGCTAGCTAGCTAATTCTAATCCTTTTCCATTTATTTTTTTATTTTGATAAAGACGAGACTGACGTTGCTGGCCTTTTCTTATGCAAAATTTAGTGCTTTGTTTTACCGATTGTCCACTTTGCCTATCTCTCTCTCTCTCTTAATTATTTGCCAAATAATAATATGCCAACCTAGTTAAGTATAATTAATTAGGCATCTCTCCCCCAACCCAAGCACTAAACGACTAAAATCAAAAGCGAAGGAGAAGGAGAAGGAGCAATTTGCTTCTCCCGTTCCCATACAAGTGCGTGCTGCAGCATAGCATTAGATTACTAGATAGATAGACCCTCTCCCTCTCGCTCTACCTACCTCTTCCTTCAATTTCTTTCTTAGTGTCAGCCGTATTTGTGGATGGATGTAGAAATTAAAGAATATTCAACTGTCATTTATACCCTTCCAAAATCTTTTTGTTAGTCAAATTCAATTTTTTGTTATCTGTATATTCAATCTTTAACCTAGATAGCTATAGTAGTTGAAGCCCACGCCGAAGATAAATACGTACTAAATATATTCCAATATCATATCTCCAATACGAGTGAATTAATTTGAACGGTATAAATGACACACATGTATATATTTGAATGGGTATACGTATATTTGGATCGATTGAATAGATTGCATTATTCCATGTAAGATCATATTCTTTTAAGAACTTAGCGCTTAGTCCTCATAAATTAAAGAGATAACATAGAAAAACGACATATAATGCATTTTAAATCAATGGACAATTATAGCTAAGCTTGGAGAATAAATTCTAATTTTTCAATAGGGATTATACTTCTTTCTTCACTCTGCACAAATTTTCAAAGAAAGTATTGTTTAGTAGATGAATAATATATCAAGTTATTCAACTTTAATTTCAAGTAATTTGAATTTCGTGCAATCTATCTATTTGAGTCCACTCACCATTGTGTAGTGGTATGACTAGATTGGGGCAACAATAACAAAAAAGTCTCAAGTTACGGAAAAGTATGTTGTGTAGATCGACATCCATGGCCAGGGGCGGCCCTGGCATATTACAAGTGTCGTTACTATACAGGGTTCCTGATTTTTTAGGTCCCCGATTTTTTTTTTTACTTTATATTATATATATTAATACCATAAAAACTGAATATATACTCAAGCATGCAGTATATTGAAACTAAGGTGTATTTAGCGGAGCTAATTTCTACCATATATCCCTTGGTACAAAGCCCATGTTCGAGTTTCAGTTATGTCATTCTAACAATGGGGAAAGATCCAACTAAACAAAATTTAAATCATTTTAAATTCGTAGTATATATCACACCTATACGCTTTCTCCTAAAAACAAAACAAAAAGTACCTTCTTCCACTCAAAACAAAACCAAAAATTATGTGAGAGCTCTAGTTGAAGTTTCGCATATGGCCCTCAAAATCTCAAGATTGGCCTTGTCAACATCCATTTGATGATGATATGATTATGATATCCCATTTACTCAGATGGGATCATCTACCATACACGTACCAACCATTATGTATTTGTACGTATGCATGCAGTATTATACGCAAGGTGTACGATCATGCATACATTTGTATATATAACTTATTTCTAATTTTGTTCGAGAAAATTTTGTATTGGATAATATTACAACCTTTCAAATTTGGCACAACCCAAAAGCACCAAAAGGAGCGGAGATTCATGCGGGCTAGCTTGCAAAAGTAGTTGTTCAAGTAGAGCCTTTCAAAGCTGTTTACCAAAGCCTAGATTATATTGCTCCAATGTGGGATTTAGTGACAAGAAAGATTCAGTTTCTAGAACATGGATGATTGATTGGTTTGGCATATTTTTGACTTCCATGGATTGTAATTAAATTAAATATAATTTTCTTATATCAAAATGGATATATTTATTTATTCTTGGTGTCCAACTTAAAAAATGGAATTTAACAAATTAATTAAGAAGAAACCAAAACACCCACAAAAACTCTCTCTCTCTCTCTCTCTCTCTCTCTCTCTCTCTCACACACACACACAGATCCCTTCGGAAAAAAGTTACAACTTTAGGAAATTCTAAACAGCAATGGAGGAGCATCTTGACCCAATTGTGGAATATTAGGCTGCATGCCGGTATTTGGTGCAGGGCAGGCCATAGATGATAGCAAAGTCTGCTTGGGAGCAGCAGAGCCAATGGGCACAATTATGTACTGACAGACAATAGCATAAAGATTATTAGTGTGTGTTTTTTTTCCTGGTGCGGTGCCATGCTGAATAGCCATAATATGCCCATACTGTAGGTCACCCAATCATCAACCCCATGCATATATATATATATATATATATATGCTCTGAATTAATTAGCTTGCAGTACATGAAATTTACATGAAAATAGGGGAAGAGGCAGATTACGTACTCAGGGACCAATTAGGTTGCATTGCATGCCTTGATGTTTAGCTTTTGAGTTTCATACAAGAAATTAACCTAAGCTAGCTAGAAAGCAACATGTGATGTATACAGCAGCAATAATTACACACAATACTAAACACTAATCTTGTATATAATGTCATTCTATACTATATAATAATCATGAGATACTCCGGATTCAAATTAAAGTCTTATCAGCGTGATCCTAAAAGTTTTTTTTTTATTTTTTTTTATTTTTTTTAAATTGCAAGTGCATCCCTAACTACTACTGCACGACTTTGGTTATACGCACTTTGTCCTTTTGTCATTAATTTCTAAAAGCCATGAGCTCTTTTTGGAGCATTTCCCTTTTCTCGTATATCAAATTATCATAAGATAATCTTATTTGTTAGTACAAGCGATAATCTAAATTATAGGGGAGAATAGTTTTTCACACACATGCAACTATGATGTCATGGGGATTCAAATCTATGACCTGCAAACCAAGATCATTTTCCTTTTTCCTTTCACTGGCGTCTAGCCCAGTGAGTTAATAAGGTAAGAGAGAGTGGATTTTAGGTTCAAAACACATTGATATAAAGGGCAAAAGAGGTAAATAAATAATAATAATAAAAGTTAAAGTTTGACAGGCACTAAGTTTATCATATGCATGATGATCACTTTTATCGTTAGCATGTATGCATGGGCGTGTTTGAAGAAGCAAGAGGTTTTTATTAAAAGAAAAAGACGATTTAGAAAGCCCCAAAGAGACATGATGAGATTAATAGTGAAAAGGAAAGATGTGAAGAAAAGGTAATATGTGTAACTAAAAGAATAAGAAAGGAGTGAGAGAAAAGGAGAGGAAACCTTAGATTGTGACTATTGTCTCCCAATATTCCAAACAGGTCCCCATCAAAATCAAACCCCTACCCCCATCTTATAAATTATAATGGAGGGTCCTTCTTTCTATCTAGCACTATATATATATATATATATAATTAATTCCAAGTCCAAGAACAAAAATAAAAAGAAAGAAAGAAAGAAAATAGGATTCCAAGCTTTTTCATATTTGTGGTGGACAAAGGAAATCTATAGTAAAAGAAAAAAATGAGAATAGAACAGGAAGAAAGTTATCATCACATTCACATCAACCACTTTTTCCCTTTGCATTTTTTTTTTCTGTAGCTTAATTTAAATGAAATTATTCAAAATAGAAATGAAGGAAAAATTATAATTCCTTAATAAAACTACGGAAACCTTGTTTTATAATTAAATGCACTACAAACTGATTTTACAATTTTACTAGGAAAGACAATTTCATTTCATAATTCCAAACTCATTCATTCATTCATTCATCTTCTTCTATTTCTCATCTTTGCGTTGTAATTAATTATGAGCTTGCTGCAGCAGCTACTGCATGAATGCAAAAAGCCATTGTTGGTCTCCGGCTCCGCTCGCTTTCTTCATAGCCCCAACAAAATGTAGTAGACAAGCGTTATGGGCAACGCAATTAACATTCCAAATATAACCCTGCCATTCATTTCAATCATTAGTTAGTTAATGTCTGATTAATTAGTAAAGAAAATAACAAAAAAGCTAGATGATATAATATACTTACCCTGTGCTGAGAATATCAGGGTGTACATTGTATTCCTTAGCAAAGACAAAGGGAACAATTCCTTGGGGTAGAGCTGCCTGTTATTTTGTTTGCCAATACAGAGTACAAACACAACAAGGCTGTTAACAACAAGGCCACACATACATGTCTTTGATATCTTTGATATCTTTGTTCTTTGTTGTGCTGTGTCACTGTGTGTGCATAATTACTTACTTGGGTCCAAACCAGACAAGTCCTTGTTTAATTTTTAATTATAATAGAAAATACTGGGTTGGATTGATTCAGTCTTTGGCATTGGAATTTCTTCTTATTTATATCCCATGTTTATGAAAAGCAGTGAGATGCCATGATGGTTTTGTATAATATTACAACAAAAGAATTAAACTAAACGAATATCTTCATAAAAAAGCTTATCTTGAGGTAGCAAAATATTATTATAAAAGTGAAACTTTTGAAGCATATGTAGCTATGTGGGATTGCTTTGGTTGTGTCAGAAGGAGGCAGAAGAGAAAAAATGGAAAGAGAGAGAGAGAGAGAGACCTGAACAATAGCAACGTGCAAGAGAGTGCCTCTTAAGCCAACAGCAATGGAAGCAGCTGCCATGACAGCTGGACCTGTAAGGAATCTCACAGCCATAGTAAAAGCTGCAATGGAATTTCCACATGCTATGATCCTCGGTTGCAAAGCCATAAACAGACCTGCAAATCACATCAAAAGGGAAAATTAGCAAACAGCATGCTCATCAGACACCATCATCACTACACCATCACACCACTGTCACTCAGTCAGTCAGTCAGTCATCCTCCTTTGATTTTGAAAGACCTTTCATCATCATCACCACCACCACCCACCAACCCATTATTATTACATCAAAACCCAAACCCAAAGCCCCAAAGCAAAAACTTGGCCAAAAGAGTAAAAACATAAATAGTGAAAGAAAGAAAAGATTCTTAATAAATAAAGAAAACCCAACATTATCATAACCCTACTGTTTGCTTTCTTTGCTTTTTTTGCCAGTTTGTTTGCTTGCTTTTTTTTATATCCAACAATTAATAATGAAAGGCAAACAATGGAGGGTTTTTCTTTTCTGAAAGAGATTGTAAAGGGAGCGTGTATAGCGGTATAGTATACTGACCAAGGCTGAACATGGCCATGCCAAGTCCTGCATCAGATAGTATGGCAATGGACTTTGCTATAATGGCTGGCATTTGAATATGCCACCTACAACAAAAATCATCAAAAAGAAAAGATAATCAAGAATATTGTATTGCACCAATGCTAATGCTATCTGTGGAGGAGAATTGATTTGCTTTTGAAAATGTGCAAGATTTTGTTGGATTCACTTCACTCTCTGAGGCTGTGAAGCAGAGAAAGGGACAGCTACCTAGTAGCTAGTACCTGAATGAAACTAGAGACCAGGTGAGGCCAATCAAGCTTGAGTAAGTGTTGGGGTTTCTGATGAGTTTTCTCCAAACCATGATCAGAATCAGCCTAGTCATCACACTGGTTGGAGGCATCACTTTGCCCTTCCCATCCCCCGCTGCTTTCTCAGCTTGCTCATGGTTCATGTTCATCTGATCCCTGTTGCCAAAGCTGAAATCATCTCTCTCCAAGTACTCTTCTTGATTCTCTCTACGACCTTCCACTAAAAATCAAAGCCCATCTCACATGTAAAACCTCAAAAACAAATTAATTATATAAAAAAGAACACTGAACAAATTCAATAGGATGTACCTTTTCCGGGAGACACAGCCAATTTCACCTCTTTTTGGTCATGAGCAGTACCATATTCATTGCTTCCAAACACATCTGAAACAGGAGAGGCACTGGAACTCCAGACAAACATATGAAGATCCTTACCACCGTCGTCTGGCTTCTGCTGAGCTTGCCCATTAGGCCTCTTTGCATTAATGGCATTACTATTATTATTAGCAGCAGCAACATTTTTGGAGGCTGTAGGTGAAAACATTCCCGGATTGGGTGCCGGGTAATGGGCTGTCGTATTGTTACCTTGCTGGCCGCCGTGGTAAAACCTTGGCTTATTACCTGTAGCGCTGACCACACCAGTACCATCTTCCTCATAATTTGACGGCCTTGGAGTTGGCCCTCTGGATGCAGAGAGCCCATAAACATCTGAAGAACCAAAGTTGGAGTTCCTCCCAGCAGCCATCATAGAGTAAAAGTCTGTGTGATTGAAACTAGACCCTCTTGGAGTTGGGTTTCTTGAAGACTGCAGAGAGTAAATCTCTGCATTGGTGAGGTTTGAAGGCCTTGGAGTTGTGGACGACAATCCCTGAGACCTTCTTGAAAAGATATCAGACCTCGAAGCATTTGATTTCCTCACAGTGACATGAAGCTTGCCATCTTCTTTGATTTCAGCTTCAGTTTCAAGTGGCTGCCTCCCATCCAATGACATGATGTCAGAATCAACATGGATGGAGACAATGGAGCCAGCAGTGTCTGGGAACTGTTCGGAGATGAGCAATTTGGCACCTCTGTATTCAAACATGAAGAGCATCAAAGTGTACCAAATAATGCACTGAAGCACAACAATTTGGACCATGAGGCTTCCTGAGAAATCGCCATACATTCCTTTGAGCAAAGGGATGCCCATGACCAGAGTGTTGGGCAGAGTGGAGAGGGAAAACAGAGTGATGGTCCATTCCAAGCAGCCCCTTTTGCTGACTTTGGTCCAGACAGCAAGCACAGCAAGAACGATGAGCTTCTGGAGAGTGTCAGCTGCTATGAAGCGAGTGTTCATGTTGTAAGGGTCGTTGGAGGAGATAAAGTGGAAGGAGAGGAGTGGGACTGCAAACAGAGCCACAAACCTGTTGATGCCAGAGCACTGGTCAGGGGTGAAGATCTTCCACCATTTCACTGAGCCATAGGCTAAGATCATGGCCACGTAGAGTGGAACCACTGCAGTCATGACATGGTAGAAGTCAGATAATGAGATCATCTTGAATGAATCTTGATGATCAGTTCAGTTGTAACCCAAATCAAGAAAATTAATTAAGCTTATTGCTTGCTCTGACTCTGTAAAGAAGAAGAAGAAGAAGAAGAAGAAGAAGGAAGATGGAGGAGGTGGTGGTGGTGGAACTGATGATGAAAAGGACAAGGGGAAAGGGAATAGGAGGAGAGCATGTGTTTTGGTTTTTGGGGTAGTGGGTAATAAGCAGAAGAATACAGCAATATTTTTTGAGCTTTGAGAGTTGCGAGAGAGCGAGCAAGCTTGCACTTGCAGTCCCCAAAGCACACACACACTCAGCTCAGCTCAGAAAAGTATTTGCTTTATATTCTTTTTGCTATTGTATATTTATTATTTCGGTTTGGTTTTTTCCTTTTTGTTTTAAGTTGTATTTGGATTTATAATTTTGTGTTTTTGAGTTTTTGGGTTAGGGGAGGAGAGAAGGGAGTGGCATTTGTCAGTTGGTGCGTGGCTCTATCTTGTTTGTATGGGATGGATCATGGATGGGTCTACTGGTTGCATAAAGCAGAGAAAAAGCATTTTGGCTAGAGGTGGCTGTGTCTCTAACTAGTTGTTTCATTGTTTGTTTGGGACCTTTTCAAGCTTTCAAAAGACCCTCTGCATCTTTCCTTTTCGTTTCTTCTTCTTCTTTTTTCATTGTTAGGGTTAACTTCCTTTTCCTTTGTTTCTTCTTTATCTATGTCAATAACTTAGAATCACATACCATTCAAGTAATTAAAAGTGTGAGTAAAGGGTTGTTGAATTAATTCCTTCCAAAATGGTGAAAGAAATAAATTATATATATATTTATATTTATATCTTCTTCTTGAATCTTGTTCATGGGGAGAAGAGAAGAGAAGTGAAGTGAGGATAATAGCGTTTTGATTGATCACGTGGATCCTAAATTGTCCATACTTTTAATCCAAGCGCTGCATGTCATTGTGTTAGGTGGGATTAGATGCCAATCCGAATTTAGCCACACCAACACCAAGTAGTCAAACAAAACAATCCTAGCCACGCCAACCCAACCCAGCCCACCCCAGTTTCATTTTCATTTTCATTTTGGACTCACATATTTGTGTTCATGGATGGAGGGCAAGCAACATCATATAGTCTCCGCTGGATTTGGATTCACATCAAATGGATTTATAGGTCTTTGCTGCATTTCCTTATCCTCATAACTAGATCAAATCTTTTTTCATCGATGAGATGAGGTTTGGGGATTCGATTTAATATCGGAAAGAAAAATACTACTAAACTGAAACTAGCTAGCTGGAGATAAATTATTAGGGTATTGTGTTTTACTTTTTGCTTTTTACGCCTAAAAAAGTAGAAAAGTAGTTTTAAGTTACCAAACGCTGCCTTCCCTTTCCCTATTCTTTTCTCAAAAAGAAAGTATTAATTGAATATTTTCATGCGAGACAGGTAGTATGTCTAAAGTTTTGCTGATACAGAGAACAAATTAATGTTCATTCTGTGAATACCTTGAAAGGAAACTGATTAATTTATGCTGAATACTGACATTCTAACATATGATTGGCTTGAAATGAACTCGGGAGATGAAATTGAAATTAAAATTAATTAATGAAAGGGTTACCTCTCCTAGAAGTGATGAAAAACTGAGCACAGAGAGAGAGAGAGAGAGAGAGAGAGCATGCTTTGAAGTTAATGATGAGGACCACGAGTCATGACCATGGGGGCTTGGGGTTCACAAAGAATGAAAGCAAACGGGGGACACATATTGACGTGTTACTCTCACAACTCTCTTTGAAATCCAAAACACCAAACACCACGCTTAACTGCACACACTGCAATGCCCCTTTTCTGTTTTCTAAGCCATTTTTATCACTTGGATTTCTTAAACTAATTCATTTCTTCACTCCCCAAATTGCGTGCTCTATTCAATTAATTAATTAATTTTTTATTTATTTAAAAAACTACATTTGTTTTGGATTTGAATGAGGAAGGATAAAATTAGGCCTAATATAATAGAAATTAGAGAAGCTATAGAAAGATGGGTAATTTGGACAATTAAGAAGAGAGATTGAGTAATGTTTTTGGCTTCTTGTGCAAAAGATCTCGGTTCTAAATCCAAGTCTTCAAACCAAGAAATATGAGATATCGGAATGAATCACTCTACGTAGTACGTACCCAGCCAGCCTAGAGGGACAGAGAATTTGTCAAAGATCATGCATGTTTCTCTCCTTTCCACCAGGCACTTTTTTTTTTCTTCTTCTTTTCTTTTTGCAAGAGGAAATCAAGGAATAAATGAAGGAGACTGATTAAGAATTTGGCATATCCAAATGGCGAATGAAATTATGAGGTCAAGAAATGAATAAGTGTGTTAGTTAATTATAGTTTTCATTTTCCAAACCACCTTTTTACATGCTTAATAATTATATGATATTTGTGTTGTGTCCATAAAACTGAACACAAATGGTAATGCAGAAAACATAGTAATTAGCACAAGGAAGGAGCGAGCGGTCAAAGCAAAGATATGCTGCTGCCGACTCAGAATTGGCAAAGATGGCAGACAAGCGCAAGCTTAAAGCCTTATTTAAGTGCATAAACTATGTGATTACGTGCAATAGTTGAATGGTAATTAAGAAAACCATTTACATTTTTGTGATGTGAGTCAAAGGCAATTTACCATTTATATAAAAAGCTCCTTTTGTCTAAGCGGAAAAAAAATATTAATGGTGGACACAGACAGAGTTCCATTTTACCAAGGAAAAGAGATGGCGGATGCATCATGCACTTCACTTCTTCTAAGTAAGCTTCAATTTGTTGGAAGTTGGAATGTTGATTCACTTGTGGACAGCGAAACTTGACTCTGGCTTAAGGAGAAAAAGGAGGTTGATTCATTTAGAATTAGATAAATGTATGTATCGATCTGATCATGATCATCATTACATAAAAATAATTTGATTCTAATAATGCTTAAAAGCCTCAAAATGCAGACATGTGTTTCTCAAAACCACACCCTCTCCGTTAAGAAATAAAGTCTCTCATAAAACCGGTATATGTCGTCCATTCTTTGCAAAAAGCTATTGGGCATTAGTTTTTCACTTGTAACTTCCCAAAATTTTACCCAATAAAACACGTACGTATTTTACTAACTATGAAAGAATATTTGAGGCTAAGATTATTTCTTACTTGTTGTAACAAAAATAGAAGACGGTGATTTTGCAATCTCTTTGCCAACCAAAACAACAATTTCAAATAAAGATTTACGCGTATAATAGTAAAAGGTGTTAGTATTCTTCATGTAAAGTGTAAAGTGAAGCAATTACCAAGACAACTCCAACTATGGATACAATTTTCTACAACAAATCATGTGTGCAGTAACATAATTTAGTAGCACTCCAAAGAATAAGGTAAATCAAAGGCAAACATTCAAACGAAAAAAAAGGATCTCTTAGATTGAAGATAGATTTGTAGATGGAAATAGGCCTTGGAATTACACTGGGTAAAGGAGAAGATTCGGGCTCCTAATCACTAGGCGAGTCCTTTGTGTTTTTAATTTTTTTTAAAAATATATAGTATTTGAATAGTATAGCCGGGCTATACTCGGGGTCCGTTTTAAATTTTTTCAAAAAATAATATAGTTGCCTGGCTATACTATACAAATTTAATATTTAAAGAGAATATTCGGGCGCTTAGCGCTAATAGGCCATTAATAGCGTTATCTAAATATTATATTATATAAATATAATATTTAAAAAGTATAGCAGTGCGGCTAGACTATTTAACCCTATTTAAAGCCAACCCAACGCATCAAATACTGAATCTTGCTATAGGTATGGTATAATTAACAGTTTCTAATATAGTCCACCACTAGGTTACCAAATGAGTCAAAACCGATATACTGTACATATGCATTTATTTATGTCAGTAATAATTATTTAGACCAATTCCCAATGTGGTACTCTTTTTCTTTCCGCAGCGAGTGAGAGCGATGTCACAATGCATGTAAGGCCAAAAGGTAAATTTAACCCATCCCTGCAAGTAAGCCAACGTAAATTATATATCTATCTCTAGTGTAGGAGAAAACTTAGTTGCAATTGGGATAATAGTGTTTTACAAATGACAATGCTATTCCAGGTAGCGAAATGATGCTATCCTCATTTTATGAAAGTCTTTCTCTTGTGTTGTGTTTCTTCTACTACGCACTTTAGGCGAGGGCGTGCCTGAAATATAAAAAGGCGGGCGGGCTATTAGAAGAAGCCTGCCCCAGTATTGGGTTGGACTTAGGGCCTGGTCTTCCCTTCCAATCGTTTCTTTTCGTCTTTTTTATGCCAATCGTTTCTTTTCGTTTTCTTTGGTCACAACTCAGAAACATCTTTTAGCCTTTAAATTTTCTGAAGCAGGGGATTTATTAAAAAGCAATGAATTGATGAAGCGTTGGACTCTGACCACATATATAATATACCAGCAATCAGCTGCTGACCTTGTTGGTCTTTGGTTCCCAGGCATGCATGCTGCTAGCTCATAACTTACTTCTTTCTAGAGTTTCCACGTTCATATATTATGTGAACTTTTTAAGAAGAATTGGCAATTCAAACGCTGCCCATCGATCAAAGTTTCACCGAAAATGCCACTCGATCCACATATGTACCTTGCAATTCACACACTCTTCGTGAAATTGTTCAAGAAACAGAGGACAGCAGGAACCAACCTCCCAACATGCGTGCTCACCAACATGATACTATAATGCACTATATATCGTTTTCCTGCAAATTCATAGGTATATAAACATATGCTATGCAGATTTCTAAGACATGAGCTTGCAACTTGAGATATACCCAGCAAAAGATGAAAGGGCACACACATCTCACTTCACTTAGTGTTTTTGACAACAAAAGCCCATAAATTCTTCACCCTACTTAGTTATGAGCTACAAGCATACCAGGAGTCAAATAAAGTACATACAATCTCAATTTGTTATACATATCCTATCAACAAACCAACCCAGCTATGAAGACAGTCTG